TTGCCTCCTGGCTTTTCAGGCTTCAACATTTGTGTTCTCTTGTGTTTCTTCATTGTCAGGAAAGCTACAAACTTATATTTAAAAAAAAAAAAAATAACCAAGAGTTGAGATTCTCATGTGACCACATGACTCCAGAAGGAAAGGCTTTAAAACAATACCAGGTGTCATGAGACTCATAATAAAATTGTAATAGCTGGCAACCCTGCGAGCTCAGGATGTGTGAGTGAACAGATATTGTAAAATTAACTAAGGGGGCACAGACCATTTGGGTTAGTGCATTGGCTGCAGGGAGCAGAGGGGACAGACTATTTGGTGGTGGATAGTGTGCCCTGTGCAGAGTGGGGCATAATAATTGAGTTTAAATATTCTATTGAGAGGATGAAAAGAGACATTTGAATTGAAACTATTTTATTATACATTTGCTAGTAATCCAGCCTACAATAGCTATTTTTAATAAAAGTAAGTAGCAAACTACTGTCTGTGTCCAATGAAATACAAATTACAATTATTATGGAAATTAAACACATTGTTATTAATACAGTTCTCAGTCCACTAATTGTAGTGCTAAGTATAGTGACACTTCTGTAAAGCATTCTCTCCCCATTGAGGGGCTTGGGGTGCCATAAGACAATCAAATCTACATCAGCATTGTAGATGAGTGTAGAATTCAGGACTGTGCGAATATTGAACCAGATGCTAAACCGAGCAACATTAATTTACACCAGCTGAGGATCTGGCCCAGAGAATATAACACAATCACTTTTCCCACGTTGATACCCAAAGACCAGAGAGATGAGGCAGGCCCTCCCTACTTATTGTTTAATTAGTTGTATTCCAGCAGCACACACATAGACACTGTCCATATATGTATGAAAACAAAGACCATGCCCCACGGGGCTCAGTATCTAAGTGGCAAGGGGGCTTGTGCTTGTGGATCTCTAGTAACTCCAGTTGAGTCCAGTTCCTAGCTACCCTCTCTCTTCCACTGCTTCCACTCTGTTCCTATCTGTGGCATATTTGGATGTTGGTTCTCACTCTCCTCTCAATTGCATGTTCCTTCTCTCCTCTCAGTATCCATTGGCAGAACTGCCTAGAGTCTGGCTTCCCCCCTGCTCATAGTACAGTCCATCACCTGGCAGTCCTGATTTCCCTTTCCAATGTCAGCACTTTTCTCCATGTCCTGTTCAGCTTTGCAACATCTTTTCCAAAATCTGCACCAAGCCATTATCATCAGCAATGACACTTCCTGTCTCTAGCTACCCCCAGAACTGGGTCTGACATCTAGGTGCAGTTTGGCTCCCCACTGCTTTCACAATTACTGATTCTTCTCTGCACCCGTCCCTGCCATTCCCAGCACTGCTCAAGCAGATTCTTCTCCCCTCAGCTCCACCCCATCCTTCTTCAGGACCTGTTCTCCATCTCCACCATGTGTGGGTAGAACCTTGCCTATGTTTGGCAAGGCTGTTAGGCTCTGTTCCCACTTTTAGCATGGGCAGAAGTTCCATGCACAAATAGGAAAATGCCATGTGAACGCCACGCCTCCTATCATTCTTCTTTCCATCATCGCCATTACCTGTCTGACAACTACTAAGAGGAACATGAAGCCCTGATTAATTAAGCCTCAGAGCATGCCTGTGGGTTAAATTGCATGTAGATAATATCTCATTTTACAAGAGTCAACAACCAAGGCCATGCAGTCCATCCGTGGCAAAAGAACCAAGGAGTTCTAACTCCCAGTTCCCTTCTTTTTCCAAAAAGTCATCACCCTACCTGTAATCTGATGCTTCAGATATTGAAGTAGCAACTGTGTCACTGGTGTGTTTTGTATTTTACCACACCAGGGTTTGTTCCTGCCCCACTCCCGATTTTATCTTTGGTGGCTACAAAGACCAAGATCATCCTTCAAAAGTCATTTTCCATATTTTATTGACTTTTCTCATTTCTGTTGCTAACCATTACACCAGTTTTTGAATGAGTAAATTTTCTGCAGAAAGGGAATTTACAGTGTTCATAGAATCAAAGTGTGTCACTCACTGCGTGAGCATTTGATTGATGCAACATTGCAATGTTCAAAAAAAGAGAGAACACTTCACACATAGGTAGTAACATTTTGCTACACTTACTCTGTGAGACAATATTTTATGTAATAGGTTCTTACTCTACTTTAGATGGATAACAACTGTACATTATAATTTTATTTTCCACTTAGCAGAGCCTATTGACTCAGAGAGACTCCTGCTGCGGAACCAGGCTTCATAATGAGGGCAGTAAATTTTGATTTTGTGCTTGTTTGATAATTAATAGTGCAGTGTCAGCAGCAGTGCAAAAACGCAAGTACATTTTTTTCTCCGCATGTTCTAAAAGATGAGCTGTAAGTCAGTAGCTTGATGTTGGGTGTACTTCTATAAGGCACATACCGTTCGCTAAAGAAATGTAACAGGCTGAATGTAGTGTCTATCTGTTTATTTATATGCCTCCCACCCTATCAGCAGAGTATCTCAGCACCTCATGATGGGGAATGTATACTCTCATGATACCCTAGTAAGATAGTGAAATATTGTTACCCCATATACAGCTAGGAAGTGGAGACAGGGAGACTAAAGTCCTGGCCCAGCAAAGCATCCCGGTAACTTTAAGCACAAGTAGTCCCAAGTAAAGTCATCTACATGCCTAAGATTTTATAGGATCAGGCCCAAGTGACTGGCCTGAGAAGTCAATGGGACTGCTCACATGCTTAGTTATACATATACTTAAGTGCTTTGCTGGAGGAGGGCCCAAGTGACTGGCTCAAGGTCATACAGGGAGTCTATAGCACAGCAAATTAAAGTCACTGACATTCTCTAGGCTTCCCTTAAGTCCAGTATAAAAAAAGTGTCACTGCATTTCATGCTTCACCTATAAGTTTACTTTTCACCTGTCAACCGTTCTTTCCTTGATTATTCAGCAAAGACAAATAATTTGACAAATGGGAATTACACGACCAAAAGCTATGAATAACTAGCTGCCTTTCTCAAATGGAAACTCGTAAGACAACTTGGCATCAATTGTTAAAGTGACAAAGGCATCTTTCCCCTCCTCAGGCCTCCCCATATATTACTCTACAGATGATTGTTCAAATTATGTGCTCTCATGGTGACTGGGCTTTGTGAAAAAAATGACAGTATTTGTTAAATGTGGATGTCAGTTGTTTAAGTGAAAATTATAGAGCAGCACACACACATATTCTGTATTAAGGCTTGTGTTAGTTTGTATGTCATAGGACCCAATCCTGGAAAATCTTATGCACTTTAACTTTATCGACGTGAATAGTCCCACTGATTTCACTAGGACTAGTCACAGATAGTAAAGTTAAACATGTACGTAAGTATTGGGAGCACTGGGACCCTGAGAAATCCCACTGACTTCAAGTTAAGTGTCTGCAGGTCAGACACCAGACTCCCTGTTCTGCATGCAAGCTGATCCATGTTAGTAGGCCCCTATGTCTTAATGGCACCCACTGACTTCAGTGGGGCTCCACGTGGGCATAATGATCAGCCTATACGAATCAGGTTGCAGGATCAGGGCCCTAATTTGAAACGAAAATAGACTTAAGTTCACCCTATAGATCACTAGTAGCTGTGGAGAGTTTTTTAAAAAAAAAAGAAAAAGAAAACTAAGGAAAAAGGAAAAAAATAAATAATCAGAAACTAAAGAAAATACTTAGAAGGCAAGATTTCCATAGGAAAAAAATATTTTATTTTTTTAAGAACAAATTCAGTTTGAAACAGACGTGGAATGTGATTTTCATAATTTTCATTTTCTGGGGGCTAATTGCAACGTGGAACTAAAGCAGATTTCAAACCTATGACAGGCTAGTTAAAAAAAAGGAAAGAAAAGAAAGAAAGAAATTATTTATAACTCAAGCGTAATACTGTGTTACTTACAAACTGGACAAAGAAATCCTTAAATAAATATTCATGGTACACACTTACAGCACAAATATGCAGCAATTTGGCAACCTTTTATACCATTTTTTCCTCAATACAGTGCAAAGGGGAATGACACTGCCTTTAAACAAGCTGTAGCTAAATACATTGCAAAATTCAAATTTTATACAAAACATCTTGCTTAGACTTTATAAAAAACCAACATTGCTCTATATACACAATCTGGTTAAGAAAAGCCATTTCTATCTTGTTTTCATGTGTATTTTTTTATTTAAAAAGGTGAATAAGGCTACTGTAACACCCCAAATCCATATACAGTAAATCTGAACCTATTTACAGCATCTTCAGTTCGACATGATGGTGCAAATTCCAAGTCGGGAGACTAGGGATGATAATACAAGCAAGGCATTTACAGTAACTTTTCAAAGCTGAACCAACGTCAAATAAAGGAACAGTTGGTAGATTGTCATAATGCTGCACCAAACACAAAACAGAAGCACGGTACATTGTTTTCAATTGGTTGCAGGTTGCTCTTCATCCATTCATCTGATTTTTTTTTTCCCCACAGTTTAGTACATAACCAGAATGTAGCCAACTGATGAAACATACACTTGATTTAATTAAAATCAGACTCACGATGCCTATCTTTCCCCTTTCTCCCCCTCCTGCAAAATAAAATCTTAATGACTTACAAGAAAATCTTGTATGGATGGATTCACAGAAAGGAGGGGTTGTTGGAAAGAATTACATATGTACTGTAGTTAGTCACCATGGTAACCTTCCACAGAACCATGCGTTTTTCTTTTCTCTTTTTTTCCTCCTTTTTGACCAACATCATTTTCAGGTTCAGGAAATAGAGAGAGTAATCGTTTCTATGACAGTTCATTTTTTTTTTTTTTTTTGCAGGTGCTCGCTGGAGGTTTGAGAACCTTAAAATGCTGTTGCTACGTTTTCTTTCCCGTTCGGAAAGCCAAGTGTTACCATAGTAACATGACTATGTTAAAGATGTCTATTTTGCATAGCACATAAAAAGTAGGATTCTTTTTTTTTTGTTCAGCGTGGGGGGTAGGAGGGAAAAAACATGCTAAAGCAGACAAACTTTAACCTGAAACTCCCCTTCTCTGTGACCTGCTGAAATCTACAGAACACTTCAGTCCATAAGGCAAGGGAAAACACAACACAGAAAATAAATGCCAGAACATCTTGTCATTGTTAAATATATGATTCGGTGACATTGATTTCCTGGATTTCTGGGCTTGTGTTTCCTCGTCTACTGTTATGTGAGATGCCTTAATAGGGCTTTGTTATTTTTGTATTTGCTCTCATTATTGTTATTTTTGGAATGAAGTTGTTTTTTCCCACAAGCAGTCATCCAATTTTTATTTTTTAATGCTGAGAAATTAAGATCATTTAATTGCCACAAATTAATTTCACATCTTCTGGTGTAGATTCTGTGCAATCTCAAAATATATATTAGAAAAACAATCTTTCATTTTATATTCCTTGTGTTCTATACACCTATTATAAATAAGTCATATCGTCCTTCTCCCTCTCAGTGTCATAATTTATTTTATCCTTATGGTAAGAGGTTTTCCATATGTGCTTTAACTTTGAAACAGAGCACCAATGAACTGCTGTGTCAGTCACCGTACCTACACTGCACTGTGCAGGGACAGCCCTACCATAAACCAAAGAGTCAAAAGGCTCAATCAGAAACAAAATCCTGATCTATTTGGAGAGATGCGAATGTATTTAATAACTCCATTGGTGATGGAATTACTGCTCTTTTGAACCTTTGGCTTATAATCATCTAGGTCAGATTTGGCTCTCCGCTATTTTCTTAAATGCTTTCCCTGTGTTTAGTAAAATGTGATAAGTATAGCAGCTGAGTCTGCTTAAAAAGTCATCCAAAGCAGACTACGATTTTGCAACAGCGTCCAAGCTGTATATCTTATTGCCAGTACCACAACAGTTCTGCCCTAATACATCATCAGGGACCTGCTATTGTCTTGTCCTCCAGGCTTGTTCATTCATTTACTAACAATACCCCTTTGTCCTACTGTATTAAAGGTACTATTTTTTTCTGCACATTGCTATTTGATAACTGTGAACTCCTTCAAATGCGGCCCTAATCCACTGAGCGTGTTGTGTCTCCTACTTGCCTCTTAAAACTTAGCACACCAAAGCGCTGTGCTACCTATATTATGTTTCTTTCCAGCTTCTAGTTCAGAGGCAGCAGCATTCAACTGCAATTGCAGTCAGCCCTTCCCTGCCACCGTCCAATCCTGGTCTTGACTTCATTGACAGCCTAACTTTTGGCTGGAAGGCTCCTTATTAGCAAACACAGTTTCTATAAATGTATTACCCATTCGAGAGAGGCTGCTGTAGCAGATGGATGGAGCATGGCACTCCAAATGTTAATGTTCCATTAGTGATGCAGGAGGTGGAGTGAAAGGAAATCTTATGTGAAGGATGGCAGAACCCTGGACTACAGAAATAAATGTAACAGTGATGGACTAAAAGCAAGAGAATTTAAAAGTCTTACTTAGATGCCGAGGTCTGTGTGACAAATCCAGTCTGCACTGAGAGAGAGACACAAAAAGTCGTAAGATTGCATTTCAAGCCTGATATCCTAAAGGACCTTCCCAGAATGCCTAGAACTATTAAACGTCCACAAATCACTCCATCTTCCCTTGGCTTTTGTACATGCCTGGATGCCTGCAGCACATGGCTTCGAGGATGATGAATGTAACAAGAATACAGCAATCGGAGAATGGGTATCTTCTATGGAAAGTCTTCCAGCTTTTAGTGAATGTTTGTTCACTGAGACAGGAATTCTACAGACTAGATAAGCTGTCCAGCTCAAGAAGGCTCTCTGAGAAAAGGGTGTTGCCTTTCCCCCCTGTGCCTGAGTCAATACTAGCGCACAGGAGGTCATCACAAACCCCAACAGAAAGCATCTGACCAGTAAGTTTCCTCTATAACTCAAAGGTACCACAGTTTGTCAGACTTTGTAATAAATGTTTGCTGGACTCTGAGGAGGCATCTCTTGAACTATATACACTGGATGTCCATAGTCTCCGCTAACCTTTTCATAGTGAGGGCAAAAAACACTGTCTGCAGTCCTTAGAGGAATGATAATGTCACTGGGCTCAGAACCATTGTTGTTGCCACTACGTTTTGGGGTGGCTAACGTACTAAGTGACAGGGTTGTAGTGTGCTGGGGTGAATGCTTCCTGTGTCTTCTCCGGTACTTCAATAAAAGAACCACCAAAGTGATTATGATGACGATGAAAATGATGCACCCTGATGCAATCCCTGCAAATAAGGCCACCTCTGAACCAAGTATACTGGAATGTCCAGCCTTGCTGCCATCTGTGCTGGATCCTAGAAAGAGAGGAAAACACAAAGAAAAGTTATCGCTGGCCTGTGACCATTTTACGGTGCTTAAAAATGTGAAGACTCAGCAGGACTGGAAGAATTAACTGGCAGCTAAACTTTGACAAACCAATTACCCTGTTAGGTAGCTAAATGCAAACAGCTGAAGTCAGCAATCAATATTAAACAAGACTTTGTGTCTGTTGGTCTTACTTTTATGCTGCTCCCAAACCGCATTGTTTTCTTTTCATATATCATCATCCATCAGCAGCAAGGCCTGGGACTGACAAGGCAGCCTTTGATACATTCTGCATCTTTTAACAGATGCTGGCCAGCTCAAGGCAGCAAATAGGGAAAAACAGGGAAATGACAAGTCTCAGGACAGCTGACACTTTGGTATCATAATCTTGCTACTTTCTCTTTCAGACACTAGTTTAAATTAAACCACTGACTGCGTCTACGTATTTTGCTTACTAATGAAACAAGGAAGCTTGAGGCAGCAGGGGAGATAGGTAAAATGTTTATCATGCAACTAGTTTTTATTATTTAAATTACATTTATTTTAAAAAAATACATTTGGAAGGCAGAAAAAAGCTCTCACTCTGAACAGCCTGCTGAGTGCATGGCATCATCGCATTATCAGTTTGTCACAAGAATTCAATGAATTCTTACTTAGAAAGTTGCAAATAACTTCCCTCTCTTCATGCTCAGTTCCAGATGGAAAAATGCTGCGGATGCTAAATTCACATAACTATCAACTCTGGCTACAATAACCTTAGCACAGAATTGCTGACGCCCGCTCAACAACTGCCATCTCAAAGATTCATTAGCAGGGTAGCAAATAATGTAGCCAGTGAGGACAGACTCGAAGCCATTGGTGAGAACCCAGAGTCGACTGATAACCAGTTTGGCTTTGTAATATTCTAAATTTGCTATCTTTCACAGTGACCTTGTTTATTTTTTTTGTTCACTTAAAGCGTGAAAAGCAGTTTGAAGACATTGGGCTGAAAACTATGAGATCCTCATGTTAAAAAGATACATTTTTTAAAAACCTTTAAATTTAGTGAAGGATCAATCAGTCATTTGTAGACTTTATAAGATCAGATAAGAGATTAGAGCATTAATTATACATGCATTAAAATAAACCTTACAAATGGCTGTTGACAACCTCTTACTAATGTATCAGATGGGAAGAGAAAGATAGAAATATTCTCTCATCTGCCAGGGTACTAAACATGAGGCAGCACGTACCACTGTAAAGCTATTCAGAGAAACTACTACCCAAAAACTTTCCTGGAAATGAATGATTTTCTTAGAAGATGTAATTTACTCCAACTGCAAAATGAGATGGGGCAATATGTGCTGTGCACTGGCCAAAATGCACAGCTTCTAGCTACCGTCCACTGGTGCATCAGAACACATTTTTGTTTGACCTCACTATGCAAATATTTGCTTTTAACAAATTCCAGTGCTAAAATAATGATGGAAGGAATGGAAAAAATCGCTTAAAATGGCACTTCCCAAGACCAAAAATTCCCGATGTGTACCTGAATTATCCTTTACAAAGGGACTTGTTGTGGAGCTTCTTCCGTTGGTACCAGCTTCTTGTTCGGGACGTTTAGTTGGATCAGTGTTACGGGGTGATCCAGCAGAATTGGGATCTGTAAGAAAGAAAAATGATTGATTTCAATTTAGACAACTGAAGAGATTAAGCTTTATAAGGCTGCTATATACCATGAGATAGGACTAGCTTTGAATAGAAGACTCTTTATGAAAAGGGCTATGAGATAGAAGAATATAATTTTCCTTTTAAAGCAAAATTGATTTTTTTCAGAGGTTTAGATTGTGAGACCATCTGCAGAAACTATAGGGATTCCTGTAATTGGCAAGAAAAGCTTTGCAGATGACATTTCAGTTTAACTGAGCAAGTTGAGTGACTCCTAAACCAACTTCTAATTAGAAGAATAATTCTTTCTTTCTGCACAATAGGTTATCTATATATAAAAAGAGACAATGAACAAAAACCTCTTCTGTCGTTAGAATTCATAATAAGAAAACTACAGAAACATTAGCTTTTCTCCTTTCATTTATTCCAAATAATTATGAACTGTGAAGTTGTGGTTTTGTTTTTAAAATAAAAATGACTGAAACGCATTATTACTGGCTGTCCTTCCCTTCTAGAGAGCTCTACAATAAAGAGATCTTATTACACTAGCGCTCCTCTTGTAGAAATCTGTCAGTAGCTTAGGTACAGAAAATAGGCTTTGCTCTCAAAATCTAAGGGAAGAATGACCAAACTAAACTCAGTTGGCACTCTGTTCTATGCTATTAAAAGAAGCCTGCACACTAAGTGGGGTACTGAGACTGATCAAAGTGATTTCATGAAACAGCAGATGGTCTTTACCTTGTCCAACTTTCATGAGGATCTTCATGGCTTTTGTCTGGCACACCCCTCCCTCCTGGTTATCCAGGCCCTCTAAAGACCCATTTGATGTTGCTGATCAAAGAAAAACAAAAACAAACAAAAAGAGATTTCAGGAAATCAGTAGGCAAAGTGATGTGAATATGAGTGCCTGAAAACAGGGATTCCTTTAATCTACTGGAATCAGTTCTTGTTGCTCAGGTTGACCTATGAAAAGCTGTGAAATGTTGAAAGCCAAAAGAATGAATACATTGGAAGTCATACATTATATACAAACGCTGGAATGACTTATCAGGTTTCAAATTTACTCAGCCACTTTTTCTTCTATGCACAATTGAGTGACTTTCTATTATGCCCCTGGATAAAATGGCATCACCTTCCAAATAAAGGTAATGGGGTCAGCTGAAAAAGAAGCCCTGCCAGGCTCAAAGGAGCAAAGTACTTAATTCACTCTTCTTTTTTTGAAGCAACATCATAAATAATCACCACAGTACACCTGCTTCCTCTGTAACAGATCTCCTGTTTAAGGAAATGCGCACATACAAAAGACAAAGTGAAATCCGAGATTCCACACTGGTTGGAAAACAGTATTTTATTTTTTTTAAATACAATCTTATTTTTCTTAGGGCTTTAAAAAAATGTTCTACTTTAACAGAAACCTTTCAGCTTCTACAAACAAACGAGTGTCTCCCCCATGTTTAAATTGTTTTCTTATCTGTATGCTTGCTTAAACTCCACATACCCACTTGCAGCCCACTGCTAGCTGGTATTGCAATCTGATTTGTGTATGAAGTACAACTCACTTTGGGAACTCATACATATCAAGTCAGAGTCTACATGATTGTACTCCATCACCAAATATTCTGGGGGGAGAGGGGAGCATCAGTTTTCTTTCATGCTACACTAATACTTTACTGTATTGTATTCTTAGGACTACAACGTATTGCATCCCTTACTAGCTCCTGACAGACAACACTGCAGATTAACCAGATACATTAACAATAATGCAGTATTAAATAGTGGGGGATGATTCTAAATCTACTTCATTTCATGATTTGTATGAGTGTTTTGTCCATTTCCCTTCATTTCCCAAAACACACACACACACACACACACACACAGATCCCGACCACCTAGTGCAAAAAAATAAATAATAGATACCAATTGTATTACTTGTTGGGATTCCCATGGACTGCTTAAATTAAACAGCACTTTCCTTTCTCTAGACTCAGTCTTTTCATCTGAGGACCTAATTCAGCAAGGGCCTCACACTGTCCAGCTCTTTGTTTTCAGTTCTCCTTCCCTCTCCTTTCAACTTCCTCTGGGATTTGCTTTTAATATAGCTTATTTGTATGTCCTACTTGCTTCACAGTGTCTTCCCAGCCCCATGTTAATATTTTTTCTGCTCTCATCTTCTCCTTAGCTGTATACCCTTTACACTGAACCTACCTTCCTATCCTGTGATCCACTTCTTGTTTTTCTTCCACTTCTGCCTCTTTTGTGTGTAACCTGTTTTCCCCCCATCATATAAAATTTCCAACTTGTTACTCCTTCTTCTATACTTTCCTTTCCTTATATTTGGGCCACCCTTGGTTTCCCCCCCCCCCCCCCGTACAACTAATCTTGTTTTCCCCTCCCTCACTGCACAATCATCACAAAGAAAGTTACTAAAACTTCAGTTTGTTTTTATTTCTAATCTTTTCTTTAAAAAAGTTTTCAAAATGAAAAAAATAAAACCCAGCAACCCACACCACATAAGTAATTTAAGATAAAAGGAGATCTGAAATGTGCCATTGCATTGCCAGACTCAGAAAATAATGGAGACATATAGTTTGGGGTTTTTTTGTTTTGTTTTCCAGAGAGAAAAAAAATCAATACTAAGAACTAGTTCTGGACATAAATCAAATGTGTCTTCACTGAAAGTGTTTTTTATGACCTATTTGCCAATGTAGAGACACAAGGACGGGGAAAAAGTAGTAAATAGAAATATCAAAACTGAGCATCAGCTGAGAGTACAGCTAATAAACACTGACTTTATTTTGGTTTTTTTTTTTTTGTTTGTGAGTTTTCATTTTTGTTTTTTATATCTAGGTTACAGGGATTCACAATCACTTTAAACTCCACTTTCTCAGATTTTAATTGAATAGAGTACAGCCCCTTCTCATATCAGCACCCTTTAAAAATTTGTCTGATTTAACCTACACTGTCAGAGACCACAATAAAATTAGAAGATCCACAGTTTAACCTCAGTCTAATACAAGGAAAGTAAGGAATGCAAAACTATTACAATGCCCAGCCTCCATCAAGATAACCCAATATTACAGTGAAGCTGGTGTGTGCTTTTCAGAGTTCAAACTGCCTTGCTTCCTTACTAAAAGAATGCTTTCATAGCTTTGATGCTGGATGAATGAATTTACAGGAGTATTCACTTTTTCCACAGTCCTTCAAGGGGTTTTCTGAAAGCTGATGTTACAGTTTAGGGGAGATAACACCATATCCTGTGGAAGGAGGAGTATTCAGTGAAGTATATTCCAGTGGCAAAGTAACTTCTCCCCTTAATTAAACTAACAATTAGCCAAGACTGCTGGAGGAAATTATTTGAAAAATTTCATTATGGATTTCAAGATATCACCTCACATATCCCAGTGTGTGGGGAGGAAGAAGGGGCAGTTTTAAACAGTTTTAAGATTCAAGAAGATGAAGGATTTTCACTGAGAGAGAAAAATAACATGGGATATCAGAGAAAACACTGTTTCCTGTCAAAAGCTCAGTATGCAGAAGTCAAACAAGGGAACAAGTGCAAAATATTCCTAAAACATTTGCAGCTGTCTTTATATTTGATCTCTGAGTGAAAATTACACCTCCGGTGATCTAAACCTCCTCCATTACACACACACACACACACACTTCAGGTGGGTAACCCTGTCCCTGGAGTTCTAATTACATTAATGTTGCATCCTGATTCCTAAGAATTTTTTAAAATAATTAATAAATTTGCAATGTATGTTTAATTTATTAGGCTCGAGTTAAATGTTGACCATGATGCTGTATGCTTGAAGATGACCATTTGTATCGTTGTTCCTACCACTGCTATACAATTGCAACAAATCTTGTACAAAGTGTATCATGTAAGGTGTCAATGGAAAAGTTACAAACTGTCAAGTATGATTACCCTGGTTAAATCCATGTATCATCACTGTATCTGAAGTGATGAATATTTGCTATGTATTTGTATCTCAGATGTTTGTTCTTGGGGTGACACCCACAAGGTAGGCTATGTCTTCACTAGCACTTTTGTCAGTAAAACTTAAGTCGCTCAGAGGTATGAAAAAATGCAACCCTTGACCAACATAAGTTACACTCACAGAAGTGCCACTGTGGACAGCGCTATGTCGGCGGGATTTTCTGCAGTGTGGGGGAGTTTCTTGCAGTCTGTCCTGAGTGTGGCATTCTCAGTGTGGTCTATCCCAGGCAACCAGACACATTCATCATCAGAAAAACTATATAATCCTGCAAACATTTACATACTTAAACAAAGTTGCTCACAGGTGTGTTTCCGGGATTGGGCTCTAAGTTTGTTATATCATATCGCCAGCATCTTCCAGTAAACTGAAAATAAGCACAACAGTGCTAACTGGATAAAATAGGATTCATTACTCCTCTCTTCCTCCCCTCTGCCCCCCACCCTTGGATGACACAGGTGCATCTGAGTTTCTGAAGTCCAGTTGAGCTCCACTGAAGTCAACGGCAAAAGTTCTGTTGACTACAGTCAGAAGCAGAATGAAGCAGTTGGTCAGCAAGAGCCTGTACACAACCTTTAAACAAACACACAAACAAATGCCTTAAATCTCTATGAATCCCAACTGTTCCTGTCCAAAGTTTAAGACTAACACATTTTCAACAATAAACTGAAATTGATGTTTGATCACTATACTAGTGACCTGAGCCAAAATTACTTGAAGTTCATAGGAATTGTCAGAGTGCAAGGAATACAGGGTTGGGCTCAAAGTGCTGTTGATTTGTGGATGATTTGTGTCACTGGATTTTTAAGAAATGGCAGTTAAAGAGACCTGACTAATTCTTGCTTTTGGGACGTGAACTGTGTCTATTCAGTAATTGTAAAATACATTCTCAATATATCCCCTGATTTGACATGGGAGGTGATGAAATTATTCAGACCAAAGCATCCAGTTCTAGTTCTGCCTTCTGTGGTTTAAATATATAAAAAGCCACTGGAAGTCATAAATCAATGTTTGATCTTTCATATTTATTTGCTTTTAAAACTTCACAATCCCTGTTTATTGTGTGAAATGCATTAGCCATAAATGGAGAGGCAGAGAATCAGAGACTGAAACAGAGTCAGCAGACAGGAATAGTTCCTGGCTATGATTTTTATACAGTCCCCATGGAGAGGAAGTAATATTACATTTTAATATGTCTTCATTTGATTATTATTACTCGGCCTCCCAGGAGGCTAAGCTGCTCCATGGAACTTTGGTTGTTTTCAACCAATCAGGTTGGTGACTTTGCTCTAATCAGATGGAGAATTAAGCTTCTGGATTTGTGCCTCTGTACAGCTAGCTTTTCATTCACAAAGAGATTAGAAATGAAGGCAAAGTCACAAAAATCAAGGCTCATTCACTTTTAAAGATATACAGTACAAAATTAAAAACTCCATCACCATTACTTCTAGGAAAATGCTATTACAACAAAGTCTTAGGCCTTTGTATCTGTCACAATTACCTTTATATCTGTCACAGTTACAAATACTTCCATGCTTTTAAAGCTACAAAATAGGCCACATTAGTGACATATCCCTTGGTCTAAAAAAGTTTGTAACCAATTTAATTCAGGGCTGGATTGTGACATGGACTACACTCACCCACCGAGGGAAGTAAAATCACACCCATTCCCAACATGCCAGCGCCGCTTTCTCAGACCTTGTGTCTGGGCATGCAGAGATGAGCAAGCGCTTGCCGCAGAGTGCCTGCTTCCTCCCTTTGAGAAGATGGGTGGGGGAATGGGTGGAGCCTGGGCTCTGCAGCCACCTAGTGTGAAGAACAGCACAAGGGAAC